TTAAACATTTAAGCTTCTTCACTATATTGGTCCTGAAATACCAATGTTTAGTCATAAACATAACAGCATGAATTGGGAAACGTTTAATTATAATTTGTGAATTTATACAGACATTTGCTGCAGAATTTGGGCCACACTGGTATCTGGTCAGGGTCTACATACATCTCTGCCTATTGTCTTTTAAACAGATGCCAATTCATATTTCAAATAAGAAGCCAAAGATCTAATTCTAATCAGCTCCAAGCGCACTGTTTATTCCAGTATAGAGGCAAGTATGTTCTATCAAATCAGTCCATGTCCTACTTTTGACAGTATATGAAAGAAAAATAGAATTTGAGAGAGAAAGCGGGTAGTCATTCTCGGTTTCCACTAGTCCAAGGTCTAGCCTACTAGTGGCTACACACAACTTTCAACAGGTGTCATAGATTTACAATCTAAAAATTTAGCCACTGGTCTAGCGCCAAGGTCAAGTAAAATTTCTAACGGTCTGGTTAGGACAGCTAATCATAATCCATACTTTAACACTAAAATTCTGCAGATGTTACACAAGACAAATTCAGACCAGTAGGCACAAAAATGTTTGGCACAGATTGGATTTAACTCTAAAACAAGGTAAGTGAGCAAGATTTTCTGATAACTGATATTAGGGAATGAGTTAGGGAGTTTGGTTTAAAGCTTCTTTGTATGATGGTTGTTTCATGACGCACTCGGCAATATTCCAGCTATATAATCGAGTCTGGACCAGACAATCCAGTGACTGACATCATGAGCATAATGCTTGTTTGAACAGTGTATCACCACAAAGTGGGAGGAACGTGCAGAGTGGGGCCAGTGATTGACATTCACCCCTATGGCGAAACCCTCGCCCATAGATAATCCCGACAACCAACGATCAAGCATAGGGCAAATACAGGAATCAAATCAACGAACAGCAGATCTGGACGTGATTGCTGCTCCTGTTATCAATCACTGTTTTTCCTGGCCCTGGCAAGATAATTTACAGACCGACGCGAAACAGCAGAAACTTCGGCACAAAACAACATTCACTCATTCTCGTTGTCCATACAGTAATAGTTTCCTTGTATTTTGACTGTGATATGTCCATTCTGTTGACCAGGGTTGTCTGTGAGATTGACATAGCACCACTCCCCATCACAATCTGGCTCTGATCTTTATAATGATGTGGTATTTGTTGGTATCCTGAATTATGGCAAAACCTTGCCAATTCTGGATCTGCAATATCATAAATATTTCATAACGCCTGTTACAGAATGCAATGCTCTTTGGAGATTGGCTGTTTTTTGCCAATCTGTTATTACAGCCTTTGCCATCAATTAACAAACAACAGTAGACCAAGTTCCAAACTCATTTGCCACAAGACGTAGAATATGCTGATTAAAACTTCAGCATTCTAAGCCAAAACACCCTGTCAAATACCCACACTCTCTGGCCTGAAAGAACGAACCTTGGCAAATTTGCCTTGTCCATAAAAGCCTTATTTCAAATTTTGCATCATTTTGGCAAACAAGTTGATTTAAATGTACCTACTATCTGCTCTTCACACAAAATAAAGCCTTTCAATTTTATTTTATTGCATGATATTAAATCTGAAAGTCTCTCTGTGAACGACAGGGCTTAAATCGACCACTTAAATTGTTTGATTTCTAGATGGAAGACAACCCCAATATGGTGCCCCTGCTAGGGATTGGATTGACAAACATAATAATTATGGTATTCCTACAGTTTCCAACTGCCAGGGTTATAGATTGTGGTGATTCCTAAGTGAGCTACTTAATATCAGTATGAGATTAGAGGATTGTCCCCACTGACGAGTTCTTGCAGAAATGGCAGCTCATAATGACATCCGTTATTAGAGACCCATGCATGGCAACATGCTGGTTTACTGCATGTGTTTTCAAACAACACCAGGCTTCAAAATTCATTTTATTTTCATTAGTCCGCAAGAATCATGTGCTTTTGAGTTGCAATCTACTTAATGGTAAAAGTGGTTGTTCACAAGGAAACACAACATCCTTCCTGAAATGTTAATTTCAAATACGTACTGCATTTATTAACACATAGCGAGGTGAGGTGAGATGAAATGGGGTTTTAACATAGCGTCCAAGATTATTGCATTTATATAGCGACATGCATGCACATGGTTGGGTGTGGCTTCTTGTACTAGTCCTGACTAATGCCAATTTTAGAGTGCTAGCCATGCTAGTGATACCATGCCACAGTTTAACATAAATACCCTACTCAGACACATTATACTAACACCGAGCCAACCAGTAAAATATTTGAGTTAGTGAGTATGGTTTTATGTCGCTTTTAGTTATATATCAGAAATATCACTGCGGGGGACACCAGAAATGGGCCCCACACATTGTACCCATGTGGGGAATCCAACCCGGGCATTCAGCATTCACCACTTGGCTACCCCACTGCCCCTACAATAATATTTCAAGTTATTCCCAATTTCAACCCAAACTAATTAGTGAAATTAGTGAAATAAATAATAACTAAACATTTATCTCTGAAAAAAACCCAACAACAATATTCAACAACACAAACATGAATTGCAAATACAAGAACATGGTAAATAACATTGCTATTTCAATTCCTCACTGTAGTACAAAAACAACCAGTCCAGAAATTGGGCATGAAGTAAAGGGGTCCTTGCCATAACTCAAGTTATAAGGGGTCCCTCGGTTCAAATACGGTAAAAGACCTGAACTACCTCCCATAACTTCGATACGTTAACCCTCAGCACCTCCCTTAATTTCGAACACTTCAAGATGAAGGCTTTGGATAGTGAATAAACAACTCAGAACGCAGAGATCCCTAATTGTAAAATATAAGTCATTTAAGGAAGACTTACAAAACCTACATTTTCAATATTCAGACGGAAAGCAGCTACATCTTGAATCATGTTCACATGCACAAGCATTGAAACAGCCAGTTACTCAAATCATCTTCATAAAACCTAACACCTTCGACAAAAATGTCAACCCAACACAAGGAATATACTGAATTCAGTCTATTTCGATCTCCCGGTAAGTAAATAACGCTAAGTGTGCTAGGTACCAGCATGGCATGACAGGCTAGGTGGGAAGATACACGACAAAATGTCAAGGAGCTCACCTTTAAACTTTTCAACTATCACGACCAAGTATGTTCAGTGCATCTCACAACTAAACTCACTGCACTGAAATTCTTGGTTTTCCTGTGCAGCATACATTGTATGGCGACCTACTCAAACTAACTTGTCACCAAAAATGTGTAAACTATAAAACAACCAGTTTAGTCCCATGCACTGTAGCTCACCTTAATATAGTCAACACTTTAAAAATGGCAAACATTTTTAGAAAAAGGTGACTTTCAGTCAGGTGAGCTAAAACATGTACAGCCTTCGGCATTCGTTCATTCCTCTGAAGCAGCATAACCCATTGAAATAGTGGGCGAGTGGGAATCTCTTATTATGACAGTATTATGTGGGCACATGATTGGGAAGCGATGCATCTATCATGCATAATAAACAGTATTAAACACCTACAGAAATATCCTCCTACTCGGAGGACGCTTTAGGCAAACTACTGGGAGTAAGGTGAGGTGAAATGGGGTTTAACACTGCATCAAGATAATTGCACTTAGTAAGCGATGTGCATGCATGTCTGTGTGGTTTGTGTGTGACTGCTTGTACTAGTCCGGACAAGTGCCATTTTTATAGTGCTAGCCCACTGAGATACCATGCCGCATGACATGAATGCCCCACTTTCGACACAGTATACTGACTCCGAGCCGACCAGTCCTTTTGTTAGCCCCTTAATGCCGAGCGCCAGGCAGGGTAACAACAAGCACCATCTTTTAACATCTTTTGGTATGGCGCGGCCGGGGATTGAACCCCGACCCTCTGCTGTATCCACTGGCCCACAGAGGCGGTCCACTACTGTAAGTGATACAAGCAGAAATATCTTCACACTGGAAGATGCATTGGGCACAGAGTGATATGTTTACTCAATGTCGAACATGAGGAGGTCACTCACAGCTAAGTCTTCCCATCGCATTCTACTTTTCAGTGATCTGTGTTAGCTTCATTTTTCAGACATTTCAACATCATCAATCAGACACATCGTGCCAGGACTAAATATCTGTACATCTAATATTTGTATTGGATGATTTTATGTTTTGACAACAGCTCTATCAACGTGACTAGAACTTCTTTCATCATGTTCAGAGCATCAGTTACTATCTAAAACTGAGACTGAAAGCCCTTGTCACAACCCTAATGTTAAAAGTGAAAGTCCTTGGATTCAAATACTGTAGCAACACATGTCTACCACCGCCCTTGATTGATTGATTGATTGATTGATTGATTGATTGTGAGTGAGTTTGGTTCAATGCTGCTTTGAACAGTATTCCAGTTATATCACAGTGTGTCAGCTTGATGTGGGAGGAAAGCCTGAAGTGATGCATGTCTTGAACGTTTACCACTTTGGTGAAACACACAACATCATGAGCATTGATCTACCCAATTGGGATACGATGACATGCATCAATCAAGTCTTCGAGTCTGACCACCCAATCCCATTAGTCGCCTCTTAAGACAAGCAAGGGTTGCTGAAGACCAATTCTAAACCGGATCTTCATGGATACTATTTGCAGCAGATTTTAGTTTTAATATAAAGACTTTTACAAACATACCTGACACAACTGAATTAAATTTACTCGACCCAGCCTTTGGATTAGTGACCATAGTCAAATACTATGAGAACTAAAGGATACAGGAAAATGTTCACATATTCAACACCTTTCTGATCAATCACTTTTAATCACATTCACACTCATTTATAAATCCTCTAAACTGATTTCTTTTGAAGACAAATTTAGTTAATTCCTTCCACCATAAACAACACTGCCTCAGGTTTCAGAAAAAAACAACACAGCCATCAGTGAACAAATTTGGAGACAGATGAGAGAGTCTTCATCTCGCTACTTACTTGAATAAACTTCTTCAAATGCCTGGAGTCCTCCCTCTTCAAGTACCCTACCACATAATCCAAACCTCGCAGTCGTACATCCAAATGCACATTAAATCCGTTGGCCATTGATGATTCTTACTGGCTGAGAATAAATATCACTAAAACTCTCCTCCGCAAAAGAAGATCTGAATCCTCGTATTCCCAAGCATCCTGTTATAATCCCTGCCTGCACAACCATCTACAACAGTGGTAATCCCTCCAGGAGGATACAGCCCTATATACACCTGACAAACCACCACGGATAAAAACACAGACTTGCATGGCTTGCTAATTGCCTACACAGAGTTCCTCTCACACAAAACAAAATTGTCAAATTTCAAAAAGAAAAACTACATTCAAACCCTTAAATCAAAACAAAAAATACCATTCATACACTCAGCAAACTCCATCTGTTTGTTTATCTAGTGAAACAATTCCACACAAAGTTGAAACACCTATCTTGAAGTCCAAGATATGATGCGGATGAAGATGGATGCTCGTTTCACTTCCTTCACTGAAATCACTTCCATTGGAATATGACAGTTTAAAGACAAAAGCAACACGACAATAATCCGTCAACAGATGACGAGCAATGTTGACTATATATTGACGAGCAGTATCTTCCAGCTAGGCTGTATCACTGTACCTATATCACATGTGTCTACTAGCACTCAACACAAGACTAATCAATACGCAAGGTTTTATTATGTGCACCCATCATGAAAATTTAACAGCCAACATCCATGGTACCTCAAGTGGGCTGTGCCATTTAATGTCTCCACGGCAACCGTACACAGCCTTGTCCAATGAGGCAGCGGCGAGCGGTTGTAGTGACGTATTTGTGGGGTCTACCATTAGCACTGCAGTGTAGCTGGAGAGCTGTGTCAGCTGTTAAAGGTTTCGCTGACTTCTAACAACAATATTGTCCACGCTGGCTCTCAACAGTCTGCCCGAAGCCACGTTTCCAAAAAATAAAACGTTGATCAAAGACTTTGTGAAACAGTTGGTGCGCTGAATAATATCAATATCATTGATTGGTGAAATACGCAAGTGAGAAATAGCTATTCTTTGGCTCAGTTGTATCGCTGCTAAATTAGAGTGAAGCTAAACAACTGCAGTGAATAAAACGCTCGGACTCTTTCAGGTTAGTGAGAATGGGGCATCATTTAACATGCTGGAATGTGGCATCAGTCAGTCATTGGCTCACCTTCATTCCTGGCAGGAAGGACCTGCAGTTTAAAAAGTCATCTAAACAACATTTACTGCTGCTAACTTAACTGCAGAAGTTCATTCAAAAGTTTGGAGGGGGCATAAAAATCACTCCCTTCACCATAATGATTTCAAAGGGACAGATCTCAGCCAATCATTTAATCATGATGCTGGCAAATTTTACTGTTAACTTTATTTTGTGAAGGACAATGGTCCGACAGATAGGAATAAGATATGGATGCTGCAGTTCTGGAAGGATTGTTTCATGACTCCACCTTTTTCATCAAGTACCATAATGCCGATATGTTGTTGTAAGTGAACAGCATTTTCAGCCATTTCACTGACTAAATACTTGCCCTGGACTTGAGACTACAGCCTGAGCTTGGCTCTTAGCATCACTTTCAGCTGAACTTAGTATTATAGGGAATATTAGAAAGAGCTTACAACACCAAACATAATTTTATTAGAATCAAGCCTTGGACTAGTGGCTTAAGTCACAGGTTGAGCTAGGATGTCATGTCAATCATGTCAGCTTGGATGTCATGTAAATAATGTCAGCTTGGATGTCATGTCAATCATGTCAGCTTGCATGTCATGTCAATAATGGCAGCTAGGATATAATGTCATTCATGTCAGCTTGGATGTCAAGTCAATCATGTCAGCTTGGATGTCATGTCAATAATGGCAGCTAGGATATAATGTCATTAATGTCAGCTTGGATGTCACGTCAATCATATCAGCTTGGATGTCATGTCAATCATGTCAGCTTGGATGTCATGTCAATCACGTCAGCTTGGATGTCATGTCAATCACGTCAGCTTGGATGTCATGTCAATAATGTCAGCTTGGATGTCATGTCAATAATGTCAGCTGGGATGTCATGTCAATCATGTCAGCTTGGATGTCATGTCATTCATATCAGCTTGGATGTCATGTCATTCATGTCAGCTTGGATGTCATTCATATCAGCTTGGATGTCATGTCATTCATGTCAGCTTGAATGTCATGTCAATCATGTCAGCTTGGATGTCATGTCATTCATATCAGCTTAGATGTCATGTCATTCATGTCAGCTTGAATGTCAAGTCAATCATATCAGCTTGGATGTCATGTCATTCATGTCAGCTTGGATACCATGTCAATCATGTCAGCTTGGATGTCAAGTCAATCATATCAGCTTGGATATTATGTCAATCATGTCAGCTTGAATGTCATGTCAATCATGTCAGCTTGGATGTCATGTCAATCATGTCAGCTTGGATGTCATGTCAATCATGTCAGCTTGGATGAGATGTCAATTGTGACGGCTTGGATGTCATGTCATTCATGTCAGCTTGGGTATCATGTCAATTGTGTCACCTTGGATGTCATTCATGTCAGCTTGGGTGTCATGTCATTCATGTCAGCTTGGGTGTCATGTCATTCATGTCAGCTTGGATGGCATGTCAATCATGTCAGCTTGGATGTCATGTCAATCATGTCAGCTTGGATGTCATGTCAATCATGTCAGCTTGGATGTCATGTCAATCATGTCAGCTTGGATGAGATGTCAATTGTGACGGCTTGGATGTCATGTCATTCATGTCAGTTTGGGTATCATGTCAATTGTGTCACCTTGGATGTCATTCATGTCAGCTTGGGTGTCATGTCATTCATGTCAGCTTGGATGTCATGTCATCCGTGTTGGCTTGGGCTGCAGCTGCACAGTTTCGTATGGTGATACATAATTGATGATTCCGTAAACTGGCATGCTAATGCTGTTTGCTGTACAATGTACTGGTATTATGAGACATGGATCACCTATTGGTATTATCATACATAATGCATCAAGATATTCCATGTCAGCAAGAGAATAAATTATTCCAAAAACACACACACTTCAGAATAGTAGCATTGGTATCTTATTCCTATCAGGCAGACCAGATCTGTCTTAAAGAATATAAAAGCAAAATTCCCAGCATCACGATTACATGACTGGCTGAGTGATTTTATTAATGCCTTTGTCAAACTAAATGAACTTCTGCAGTTTAGTTAGCAGCAGTTTGGACATCTCTAGGAATGATTGACCAGACATTCCCAGATGTCATGATTGACCTAACATTCCCACTGACATGATTGACCTAACATTCCCACTGACATGATTGACCGAACATTCCCACTGACATGAATGACCGAACATTCCCTCTGACATGATTGACCTAGCATTCCCACTGACATGAATGACCGAACATTCCCTCTGACATGATTGACCTAACATTCCCACTGACATGAATGACCTAACATTCCCACTGACATGAATGACCGAACATTCCCACTGACATGATTGACCGAACATTCCCACTGACATGAATGACCGAACATTCCCACTGACATGATTGACCGAACATTCCCACTGACATGATTGACCGAACATTCCCACTGACATGACTTACCGAACATTCCCAGATGACATGATTGACCTAACATTCCCACTGACATGAATGACCGAACATTCCCACTGACATGATTGACCGAACATTCCCACTGACATGATTGACCCAACATTCCCAGATGACATGATTGACCTAACATTCCCACTGACATGAATGACGGAACATTCCCTGCGGAACAAGGTTCAGACTTCCAAGTCTAAACAGAACAAACCAGAACATGTGTATCGCTCAGTGAAACTGAAACAAACCAGTTGGAATGACCTTTGGATGAATGTCCAGTGACAAGTAATGATACCTTGACCAGCATGAACTTCTGATCGCTGCCAACATACACCCCAGGACTACATTCCTGACACCAGTGGCCATAATACAACAAAATAGCCAATAAATCATTAGAAAATTGGCTAGTCTGAATCAACACCTCTCCTGCCTTTATCCATCATCATTCCTCCAGTCAACGCCACACACTCGAAAATCTGGAGACACAGGGAAACCTTCTGCGTCTGGAAACTAAGGTCAAGGTTGAAGATGCAACCTGTGTTTAAGAATATGGATGGACCTGTCACAAATTTATTTTGAAAATTTTTAGTTTGTATTTTGGGGGAATTATTTTCAAAGGTTATTCAATGCTAAATAAACTAAAATATACACAGAATTTTTTTCTGCATCTGTTCATATATAGACAGAAAGGCTGCAAATCAATCAAGTGAGTGAGTGAGTATGGTTTTATGCCGCTTTTAGCAATATTCCAGCAATATCACGGCGGGGGACACCAGAAATGGGCTTCACACATTGTACCCATGTCAGGAATCGAACCTGGGTCTTCGGCGTGACGAGTAAACGCTTTGACCACTAGGCTACCCGACCGCCCTCTGCAAATCAAGAAACACTATAATGCCATAATGCATATGCCATATAATGCACATAGAAATGTTTTAGTTACTAAAATGTCCATTCCATAGTTTTCACATGTGTATCTAGTGTTATTTTTCAAATAATTTCTACAGTTACTCCTACTGAAGGAAGGACAGTTTGTCACTGACTGGGATGTTAAAATGGCAATGTTCCCACAACAATTTCAGAATAATCATAAAGGATTATCATTTAGCAACTGTCACATGTACACAAAACCCTTTTGGACAGACACACATAAATGGTAGAGAATACACACTTATGTAGCAAATCCCATGACCTTGACAAAGACCTGCCCCGTGAAGCCCCGGGGTAGAAGAGGCTTTCAGCAACCCATGCTTGCCCTAAAAGGTGACTATGCTTGTCGTAAGAGGCGACACACAGGATCGGGTGGTCAGGCTCGCTGACATGGTTAATGCATGTCATCTTATCCCAATTGCATGGATCGATGCTCATAATGTCAATCACTGGATTGTCTGGTTTAACAACAAACAAACAAACAAACAAACAAACAAACAAACAAACACGAAAACAAACAAATGACAAGTGACCTTGACATGTAAATCCTCATTATTGCTCACATATCTAAACATTTTGCAGGATGAGGTTAACAATCATCATGGGCATTTTCATGTTTTTTTCAATTATTTCGCAAATTCTCTAGGACATTTTGAATGACAGTCAGTCACTGTCCAAGAAAATGAACCAATCTGAAACATTGCGCTTTAACAACTGAAATAAAAACACAAAACACACTTAATACCTTTTCGTCTACATGCAATTCCTTACGGAGGCAATAAATTAATTGCTCCATCCTGAAATCTGTCATTTCCATCAAGCAATAATGATTTTCTAAACTTGGCATTTTTCCGGAATACTCGACTTTCATAGATTTCTTTTAGCCCAGATACAGGCAAAGGTTAATCTAGCTGGTTTGCGGGTCTATAATGTACCTTGTTAATAAATCAAAAGTGTTGATTGGACTTCGGGTTTATTAACTGATGTAGGGAGGCCCTTGTAAATATCATATAGTTACATCTATTGTCATAGCTTCACTTAATTCAGGCGGTTCATATCATGTG